CAAAGTGCTGGGATTACAGGTGTGAGCCACCACGCCCGGCCAGGAACCCAAATTTTTTATGTGAAAATCTCCATTTGGAAAGGTTGCCACCACATCCAAAAATTATTTTTAAAAAACAAGCAAATAAACAAAAAACACTGCATAGGCCAATCAAAATAGGTCTTGAGCCAGATATACCTGCTGTCACTGTAATATGTGAGTTTAGCCTCATGTAATAAACACTTGAGTACAGCTCATTCTACCCATTGAGACTACATGCATCACAGAGGGACTACACTACACCTAAGTCCTGTTTACATCCTCATCACCTATAAAACTGCATCCCATACAACATATATTTTCAAACTTGCAGCCAGGCATGGTGGCTCACGCCTGTAATCCCAGCACTTTGAGAGACTAAGGCAGGAGGATCACTTAAGGCCAGAAGTTTGAGACACACCTGGCAACAAAGCAAGACCCCATCTTTACGAAAAATTAAAAAATTTTCCTGGTATGGAGGCATGTTCCTATAGTTCCAGCTACTCAGGAGGCTGAGGCAGGAGGATCACTTGTGCCCAGGAGGTTGAGGCTGCAGTGAGCTATGCCTGTGCCACTGTACTCCAGCCTGGGCAACAGGCTGAGACCCTGTCTCTAATAAATAAATCAATGAATGAACAAATAAATAAATGAATAAATTAAAACTTGCTTAATAATTTAAGGAATTAAGGAATTTCACAGAATGAGATGGCTAAGTCCTATTAGCTCTACCTTCAGTCCTGTTCAAGTCAATATTTGTGTCCATATTCATATAAGGGCATTAACAATAACGTTGCATTTTCAGATGACAAGAATGTAAAAAGATAGTGAAAAATATGTGAATTAATTTTGTTGGAAGATTACATACAGTTCAAGGGTCTAATTCCAATGTTTCTCACCTAGAATTTGACCCAGTGATTTAACACCTCTAACAACTCATGCCTTCCCTACCTTCGATACACTTCCCCATCTCTGTGCATTTTCCCATGCCAATCCTTTTGCATGCACTGTCCATCCCTTCCCAAATGACCCAACAAACCCTTGCTCACCCTCATGACCCTGCTCAGGTGGAGCCTCCTTATAGAAACCTTCCTAGACCCAACGGGCAAAGTAACTTCCTCCATCTCCGTGCTCCCAAAAAGCAATGTTCATGTAAGTGTTATTGCTTCTATCACATATTTAGTTTCTCTGCTTCTCCATAAGCTACTTAAGGACCAAGATACATTTCATGTGTCTTAACATACCCTGTGACTAACACAGTTTCAGGAGTAGAGTGTGCAGTACATAAATGCCTCATTTATAAAGATTAAATTCCCACTTTACATAGTGAAATACAAGCACTAGGAATGTAAATGACAGTTGTGTAGAAAGAAGCACAAATGTGAATGAATGCAAGGTTTTGGAAACCTAGGTTGGAGTTGTTTATACATTAGATATTCATTCTTTTTTTTTTTTTAATCAAGAACAAACTTTGTTTAACTTTGTACCCTATTAACAGAAGTTAAAAAAAAGGTTTTACTAAACTCTCAGCTGTTGTCCCTCCTTCCCAGCTGGGGCTGTGACTGGAACCCTTTTCCACAGCCTTGCTGCATCTTCTCCTTAGTACCTGCTCCACCTGCCAGGAAGTAGCTAGTTTCCATGTCTCTGTGCTCCAGTTTATGGGCTCCTCCCAGGTCTGACCATCAGCAGCCTCCTCCTCATCTTCCTTTACACATAAGTCCTCAGGAAAAGGTATGCTGGTCTCCGGTTCTGAAGCCACCATACCCTTATCTGGCTTGCTATCTTGTAGCAGCTTCACGGTTCATAGCTGCATGTTCAGAAGCTCCTACTGGGCTCCAGCCAAAGTAGTCACACACTCAAGAAGGGGGTCCAGTTGGGCCATCAGATTGTCCAGGTGCTGCTCTGTCTGGATCAGCTGTTGCTCCAGCTGCAATGGTTGCTTCCTGCCTGTCTCCTCTTGGAGAACTGCAGCTTCATCTTTTCCCTGTTGTGGAAGAAGAAAAGGGCAATACTGCAGCGAAATTATTCTGCTCCATCACCTCAGTCTCCAAAGCCAGTAAGAAGAGGGGTATCATTTAAGATAGAGAAAGCTATTGGGTTTTTACCTCAGAGAATCACAATTACTTCTAGTCTAGTTCCTCACCCAGCACATGAAGCAATATGTCAACGTCTCCCACACATGGTCATTCAGTCTGCTGAAACACCTCCAGGAATGAGCAGCTCTCTCCAGTTTGATTGAGCTGTCATTGTTAGACAGTTCATACACAAAGTCAAAATTTGTCTTTCATGTATCTTCTTTCCATAGTGCTGACTAGAGCCTTCCAAAATAATGACTCTTCAATGTGATAGTTCCTCAGGAATTTAAAGACAATGGGCATACCCTTGCCCCCTTTCCTGAGTTTTTTCTGCTTTAATATCTTCGATCTTTTCAGTCAGGGCTCATTTTGCATAGTTTTCTCTGGTTGCTTTACTGAACATATAGTGCTCTTAAGGCAGTTCTGTGAGAAGAAAATTCTCCAGGAATGTTCTGATCAGTAGATAAAGCACAACACCTTGTTCCTACCATTGATTTGGGAAGTAGGTTGTCACATCACACCAAAAAAGTCAATGGGTATGCCTAAGTGTCTCTCATAAGCGCTGCTGCTAAGAAATGTCTTCTTCCAGGCTGTACTCAGGCCCAATGATAGTATTTACTAAACTATCCTTGTTAAATTTCATTATTAAATTCAGTCACTCATCCTAGCCTGTCATGTCTACCTGGGATCATTACTAGCTATCTCTTGTAGTTTCACACATCAAAATTGGTTCAATTGGTTCTATTTTCTAATGCAAATAAATAATAGGGTCAGGGCTGAAGATACTGTCCTGGAAGGTGTTACTTTCCAAATGTACCGTCAACTCATATTTAAGGGCTTCCTTCCCTAGGAGACCACGAGACCACTTGATGTCTTGAACTCTAGAAACACCATGGTTGCAGCAATCAAACCCTTGTGCCACCATTGGCCCCACTTTAGTAGTATGAACACTAGCTGGGTGTCCAGCTCCACCAGTTGCTGCTCTGGATGACCTCAAGCAAGTGGCTACTCTTTATTAGATTGTAGGAAAATTAAATGTGATGATCATTATTCATTTACGGTTTACCACGTGCCTTTCACATCCCTTACCTCGCTGAATCCTTAAAATTACTCTATAATGTTGGAGGCCAATCAACTATAATCTTCATTTCACAGACAGTGGAAACTGTATCTTGCTCTCAGTACTATGGCACCGCCATGAGAGATGCAGACCCCCCGCCATCCTTGCATCTGAAACACTTATACAGCACAAAAGGCACAATGGCTGAGGTGTACAGCATTCCCAAAAGCAGCACCCTGGCCCTGGCCCCTTCATGCTGGTCCTTCAGCAGCAGTTGCCAGCATTCTGTGGCCCCAGGGCCCACATGGGTTGGGTTCCCTGTGGAAGGAGGACAAAGTAGATATTCATTCTTTTACAGATTTTATATAAAGATCTGTGTGTTTTTTTAGGCTTATGTTAGTTGACATGGAATGGAGGCATTAATCACGTCACAACTAAAATCTAGAGAAGGTAAATCCAATGCACATGGAGCAGTGGAATCACTTCAGGAGGAACTGAACAGACTGCTTTAACCCACTGCAGAATTTTGAACAGCAAGAAATCCAAAGACTCAAGTTTCCAGCATAGAGGTGTGATGAGATGAAGAATGTTTGTATGAACAGAGAAACAGGGGTGTTGCTAAAAACAAAAAAGAAGCTGGGTTCCTCCTTGAAATGGCCCTCCCTTGCTCTATTTCTTTTGGGTTTTAGGCCCCTCTTTATATAACATGGCTCTTTGGCGTGCTGGAGTAGGAATAAAAAGAAGAAAGAGGGCAGACATGGTGGCTCACTTTAGGAGGCCGAGGCAGGTGGATTGCCTGAGGTCAGGAGTTCGAGACCAGCCTGGCCAGCATAGAAAAACTCCATCTCCACTAAAAATACGAAAAAAATATAAAAATTCCTGGCTACAGTGGCACGCACCTGTAAACCCAGCTACTCGGGAGGCTGAGGCAGGAGAATCGCTTGAACCTAGGAGGCAGAGGTTGCAGTGAGCCAAGATCATGCCATTGCACTACAGCCTGGGCAACAAGAGCAAAACTCTGTTTCAAAAAAAAAAAGAAGAAGAAGAAGAAGAAAGAGGGAGAGGAAGTTGAACTTGCTTGTAGAAGATTTCATAGATGTCTGATGCCCATAGTACTATCAGAGCTTGAATAAAAACATCTCCACCAAATTCACAATGGAAATTTGAAATTTGGAACAAGATTTGTACAAGAAAAAAAAATACCACTTCCCATAACACGGTCTCCTCCTCTCCTAGCTTTAGCCCTTAACACAGAGTGTGGCACACCTAACTTGGTCAGTAAAGAATTCCACCAACTCAAGAATGAAAAATAAACTCCGTATCACAGATAAATGTCTTTTCCTTCCTCTTTATCTTCTCTTTCTTCATTCCTTTCTTCTCACATTTTTTTCTTCATTTTCTGCATAATAGCAGGTCTCCTAGGCTAGGTGGCTGTGCCAGCCATTCCCTGTGATTCTCAAAAACACGGACAGATCCTTCTGAAAAGTTCTGTCTTGAATTAGTCCTTGTTGCAGGCCAGTACATTAGAAATGGTATTTCTAGAAGGCTTGGAGAAGTAGATGATAAGCCTGAGTTTCCTTCTTGGGATTCCTCTCCTGAGTCTGAACTGGAAACCATTGACCCAGTTGTTAGACAATGGAGGCCCCTAACACAGAGCATTTTAATGGGATAATTTTTAGATTTTCTTGAGAAACATTAACTGAGAATAGAAAGACTTCTACATTCTCTCACTGCCATGGCCATTCTGGTTCCCATTTCAAGGTCTCAGTCCCTCAGGAGAGACATACGAGACTCCCAGTGAGTGTCCAGTCCTTGGATTTTCCTCTAATACTTTATCCATGTGTTAAGAGTTCACATTGCACCTTTAAAGAAGCTCCTGTGTGACCAGGACTCATCTTCTGAGGATATCAGCGATCCTTTCATGCCATCCCATGCCAAGACTAACATTGCTCTGTGGTGATTCCCCATCCTGTATCTGTAGGAAGCCATGCTGGGTCTGCCCCAGCCAGAGTTTTAAAAATCTAAAATCCCTCCAGAACCTCCTTGCTTTTTTCAACATAGATTTTTGCCAAAGAAGATCAGATCCAATTGGCAGATCCCTGCTCCACAGCAGAATACTTCGTAATTGGATTAGTCTCAATAGCAGCAGTAGTTCTGGCCTTGAATATGAGTTAATCAGCCAAGTCACAACACAAGGAAGCCGACTGCACCAGAAAACCCTGTACAATCCGTGAGTTTCTTCATGGTTGAGACCCAGATGAATCATCATGTTGATCTGACTCATGCCTCTCCCTGCCTTAGGCCAAGAGACTGAGGCTTTGCCTGGGATCTGCCTCTTTCCCACTCAAGAGTCAAATGAGTTCCCAAGGAGTAAGAAAAAAAAATGTGATTGATTCTGATTTGCACCCCAGTATTTTTGTAATTAATCATAACGAATCAAATATTTACATTAGAAGAGATCTTGTGTTGTGAAAAAAAGGAAAGAATAAAACAAGGGAGGAAGAAAAGAAGTGGGAGGGTGGGAGAGAAAGGAAACAATAGAATAAGGCCAGGCGCGGTGGCTTATGCCTATAATCCCAGCACTTTGGGAGGCCAAGGACAGAGGATTGCTCAAGCTCAGGAGGTCAAGACCAGCCTGGGAAACATGAAAAGATTCCATCTCTAGAAAAAAAATAAAAAATTAGCCAGGCACAGTGGCATAAATCTGTGGTCCCAGCTATTCAGGAGGCTGACGTAGGAGAATCGCTTGAACCTAGGATGTGTGGCTGCAGTGAGCCATGTTCTCACCACTGCACTCCAGCCTCGGTGACAGAATGTCACCTGTCTTAAAAGAAAACAATAGACTAGAAAAAAAAAAAAAGAAAAGAAAGCAGTAAGTGACATAAGACCAAGAGGAAAAAAGCAAACGTGAGCATCATCTGTCCTCGCAGTGGCCTACTGAGGGAAAAGGGTGGACACTGAGCTTCACAGCCCACAACAAATCAGGCAGGGTCACTTCTGCAAACACTGATAACCTACTAAAACCCAAGCACAGAATAAGAGAGACACTGAGATTCAGAGATAAAGTCAAGATGGCTCCTACTGCTGCAGGGAAACTAGAGTGACTCAGAATCCCAGACAGGTCATGTTTGAAGAGGCCATTCATACACTACCAGTGAGGTGAAAGTTGCATTCCTTTCTCCCTTCTCTCCTTCTCTTATCCTGGAGCGCAAACATTGTGTGGAGCACAAACATTGTGTGAAGCCCCTACATAGGCCTTTGGAGTTGAACTACTATGAAGGCACGTGAGATCTGGTGATTCCCTTGGACAAATTTCCTACAAGGAATCATTTCACAAAGCTTTATGGGCAGCAAATGCCCATAATTTGGATGGTGGCTTTTGGAGCCATGACATGATCTCACCTATATGAATAGAATTCTGAGGACAAGAAGCTCTGATTTACTCAAGAGCTCTGACTAGCTGACAGTAGAATTTTGGCAGATCTTCCAACACACACATCTAGTATGGCCCAATCTTCAGAATTATCTTTGCATTTGGGCAAGAAGAGGCCCCATCGCCAGCACCCTGGCATTTGGGCAAGATTAGCACAAAAAATGAGGGATGACTTCAGGAGTAAGAACCTTTGAGACTGCCTGGGTTGTGGACTTGTTAATAATCTGGAGAGATATCATCAACAGGTATCAATTTAATGGTTCCACTCCTCAGATATCTCTAGGGCAGAATCCTCAGCCCAGAGCACACACAGGATCACTAATATGAATGTGAGCATTCTCACTGGAGGGGTAGAGGTCACTGTGGTGACCCTTTTGAGCACCCAGGAAAGATTCCTAGGTAAAAGGAGGACTGAGGAAAAGCTAGAAAAGAGGCAAGTGTCAGCCTAGGACGTGTCAGTGGGCCCTGCATTCATCTACAGGAAAGGCAGTTCCGCATGGAAGAGGCAGAGCAGCCCTTCTCCCCTTGTCCACCCATGTCTTCTCACCCCGCCTCACCCCGAGATGAGGAGCCCTGAGAGAGCTGGCAGGCTGCGGTCGGTGAGGGCTGCAGATTTGAGGAAGAAGTCGAATAAGGGAGAGGACCACAGAAGGGCAGTCCCATTAGGGTGCTGGGGCCTGAGATCCCTGGACCACCTGTGGTAGGGCCTGATGACCCAGGAGTCTAGCCCTCCAGATGAACTGGCTGGTTCCACACACAAGTCAAGTGGATATGCTGGGAGAACATCCTAAACCTGTAACAGAAATTAGGGGGGCAGGAACCCACAGAAATCACACACTGGGTGAGCTCAAGTGTTTGGAGACTAAGGTAGCAGTTGTACACTGTCAGATTCCGAAAGTAGATATGGCCTTGCATATGCCATTTATCCTTCTGTTGCTCTGGTGAATGAAGGAGTTGATGGCCTGCAGACTCTGGAGACATTACCCTGTGCTACATTATCACGTCACAAGAGTGGCTGAACCCACCTGAGATTCTGCACCTCAGGTAGTCACGACAGCATCTGTAGAAGTCCTAGGCCTGGGGGAAACAGTGTGATCTAGCAGCAGACTCAGGAGGGTTCCCATCAGAACCAAGTTTTCTGTGAAGTGAGTTTCAGTCCTTTTCCCTGAAGTACCTAGCACGTAGGTGTTCTCAGTAAGTGTTATGTTAGCTTACTAAGAAGACTGGTCTCATTTGAAGAGAAATTAACACATGTAAAAAAATAAAATAAAATAAACCTATTAACTAGGTTTTTAATCAAACTATTAACTATTCAATAATTATTTAACTATTAATTTCTGTTGTCTTCAGTCTCTTAAATATGATTTTTCTCTTCTCTTCTTTCCGTTACCGCAGTCTCCCTTTTTCACACAGGGAAACAACCCAAGACTCAGAGTTCTCCGCGGAGGAATGCAAAGAACACAGGAAGTCAGTACTCCCAGAAACAGTCTCTGCCGGTCAATGGCGCGCTCACACCCAACTCCATCCCGCCCCCGTCCCGCCCCACCCTCTTGATTTCTGGCGCCGGTGACCAGGCCCGACGCAGCCTCCAGCCCAAACACGGTTTCCGCCTCAAGGATATTTATATAACCATTGCTTATTGGCTGCTGGCAAACACTCGCTCTTCTGGTTGGCTGAAACTGTCGGGGGACGTTCTGCGAAGGCGGCTCCTTGCGGCGTTGTGACTGAGGGTCACAAGAACCTACATTTCCGTTTCCGGTTCGCCTCCGGAGCCATGGCTGGGGCACTGAAGCCTCTACTGATATTAGGAAGATGGTGCCCCGGCCTTGGTGTAGCTCCCCACGCCCGGGTGAGTGTCTACATTGCCGGCTCACGGAGAGACTCTGGATCTGCAGAGACATCTCCGCGCAGAGGAGGAGCGCTTCTGGCAGCCCCCGCCCTAGCGAGCGCCAGCAACTTTCCTTTCTGCCAGAAAATCAACCTTTCTTTCTCTGCCTGCAGGCGCTCGCCGCACTAGTACCTGGAGTCACACAGATAGATAACAAGTCCGATTTCCTGCAGAAGAGGCCTCATCGCCAGCACCCTGGCATCCTAAACCTACCGCACGTGCGGCTGCCACAGGCACTGGCTAACGGTGCCCAGTTACTGCTACTTGGTGAGTAACGGCTGGAAAGGGAGAAGAAACGGGACTGGACCTGCATGCAAGTGATTCCGCTTTTCATCTTTGGCCCATAGAGAATGCTGGGCCCACTATGGAGAATCAGGTGCAAACACTGACCAGTTATCTCTGGAGCAGACATTTGCCTGTGGAGCCAGAGGAGTTGCAAAGACGGGCTAGGCATTTTGAGAAGAAATTCCTGGAAAACCCAGGTAGGACTTAAGAATAATTAAAAAGTAGGCCAGATTGAAATATCGGTTAGAAATGAAGAGTAAGAAATAATTTTACAGTCTCTCGAACAGGTACTGAAGTCTCTTATTTGACTTTCTAACCAGAGCAGCAGTTGTCACAATGATGCCTTACTAAAAGAAGGTAGATTATTCTAGAGATTGCTTAGGTAAAGGTTAGAATGTCCCAGTATACTGTTTTTTGTTTGTTTTGTTTTTTGTTTTTGCTTTGAGACAGAGTCTTGCTCTGTCGCCCAGGCTGAAGTGCAATGGCTCGATCTCGGCTCACTGCAACCTCCACCTCCCGGATTTAAGTGATTCTCCTGCCTCAGCCTCTTCACTAGCTGGGATTACAGGCGTGCACCACCACACCCGGCTAACTTTTATATTTTTAGTAGAGACAGGGTATCGTCATGGTGGCCAGGCTAGTCTTGAACTCCTGACCTCAGGTGATCCACCCGCCTCGGCCTCCCAAAGTGCTGGGATTACAGGCGTGAACCAACGTGCCTGGCCACCAATATACTGTTAAAATCTAGATACTTGTTTTTTTCTTGCAAGTCCACTGGATTAGGACCTTCTGAGTTTTTATTCAGGTAAAATAAAGTCCCTGGATGACCTCTACCCAGTACTGAAACCCTCTTCTGGGATAAGAGGATAAATATAATTCATCAAGTTAGTTTCATGATTGTGAGCTCCTTAACATTACCATTTATTCATCTTGCATTCCCTGCACACCTCACAGTACCTGGCTCATAGTAGGTGATCAGTAGATACTTGCTCAATAGTACTGAACTGAACAGTCATGAGACCTAGATTTTCAAATTTCTTTCCTCTCCATAGAAAAAGTGGAGATCATCAAAACCTTAAATTTTGGAGAAGTGAAGAAATCCAAAAAATAGTGCCCTTTAATTTTTTTTTTTTTTTTTTTTTTTTTGAGACAGAGTCTTGCTGTGTTGCCCAGGCTATATAGTGCTGTGGCACGATCTCAGCTCACCACAACCTCTGCCTCCTGGTTTCAAGTGATTCTCCTGCTTCAGCTTCCTAAATAGCTGGGACTACAGGTGCACGCCACCACCGCCTGGCTAATTTTTGTATTTTTAGTAGAGAGAGGGTTTCACCATGTTGGTCAGGCTGTTCTGTTCTTGAACTCCTGACCTTGTGATCCACCTGCCTCAGCCTCCCAAAGTGCTGGGCTTACAGGTGTGAGCCACCACGCCCAGCTTACCCTTTAAATTTTTATCACACTTTCCTTTAATGCAAAACAAACCTGTGGAACAGGATTGATTAAGCTGAATAAATCATTCTTAGAAGCAAAATGCTATTTGAAACAATCTGTTAGTGGTAGTAGTTACTGTTAATTCTTGCCTGAAACTTTTCTCTAGGTTTGTTGTCTCTCTTGAGCTTTAAGACTTTCTTAGGTGGAGTC